GGTGCCCTCTTTTGATCCAGGCCAAACTTCCCCAGGCTCTAGGTCTTTGGGGGGAACCGCCCCACCAGCTTCCCGCTTCATATCCGCATCCTGACTTCGTTCCGCCAGAGTGTCACAGGGGAAGGATCTGTTGTGGGAAGAAAGCGGAGAGAAGGAAGCATTTCAGTCGTTCTGTAGGTTAGACATCCGCTAGATTTAATCCGTTGGAATTTACCCATTGTGACAGGAGTTGGGGTGGGGTCAGCCTTCCCGCCTTCGGTTCGGGTGCCCAGGCAGCATGGAGAGTTATGGAGCTGATGACTTCGGAACGAAACATCCACTTGGGTGTGAAGAACTTAGGTGTGACAACACTTCAGGCAGGGGCTGCTGAATCCAGAGCAGAGAGCGAGCTGGTGAGGGCTGCTTTACTAATCAAGCCCAGCAGTTGACCTCCCTGGATCCGGGTCCTGAAGCAAAACTCAGCGCTCCTGAAGGGACTGTTCTGTCTGAAAGTCACTTCACATTCTAGAGAACGATTCTCACTCCCATCCCACTTTCTCAGAACTGTTCCTCCATATTTAGACTTCTGCCGGCCAGTTAGCTAGTAAGGCTAACGGCATAATAAATAACTACGATTATTGAGGACTTACTTCACTCTAGGCCCTCTACCAAGTATGTTCTATTCATTAGGCCACTACACCAACATTGCAAGGTGGGTTACACCCATTTTACAGATGAGGCAGGAGTGGACAGTCTCCTGTTATTTTACTAGACTCTCCCAAAAGTCACACAGCCACTTAGAGAACCATATGCATGCCAGAACCTGTTTCTGACGCTGTTTTTTTCTGGATTAAGAAGAAGAGAGCAAAAGCGAGTGGGAATCCTAAATTCCCACTCTAAGAGGCTCCAAGCAGAACGCGGATGCTGAACAAGTTCTCTGGCTACCGCCAGGGGGAGGCAAAGGCCAATCTAAAAACTCGTCTGGGCTGCCGGAAAGCCTTTGTACCCAGCAAAGGTGGGCTATTTTTCAGTCTTCTAGAGAGAAGAGGATCACTGACCCGCCTCGGAAAGAGGTCTGCCCCTATACATGGGATTAGAGAGTTGGTCACTACCCGGTCCCATCTATTCCCAGCACACAGTTCAACAGAAGTTAAGGCCCTTGAGGGACCCACAGACTCCGTGTTCATAGCTAGAATTCTACCTGTAGGCACCCAGTTGGCGCTTCTTCATCATACCCTGGGATAACCTGTGCCTCCCCAAAGGCGTGACTTTCTTAGTCACTTCTAAACAAAAATTCCACGGTAGTCATTCAAAGTACACAGACAAGCTATAAATATGCCCGAGCTTTTGGGAGGAAGATGAGGGCAAAGAGAGATGAAGTCACCGGGACAAAGTTGGGGTGGACTGATAAAAATTCAGACTCAAATACAGCAGAAAAGGCATCCAGGGACAAAGAACATTCTGCCACTATGGGTGTTTTCTTCCTGTTTGAGAAAAACTGAAGCCAACTGTCTGATAAATGGCATAGTATCACTGGGAAGCCAAAGACTGGGGGAAAAAAAGAATAACCTTTGGTTTTATTATTCAGTGTTTCTGGGACAGTTTAGCTATCACTTTTCAGTGTCATCCAGCTTCCTTGCTCTTCACAGCATCCACAGCATGGCTGCAAAAGTGGGCCATAGAACTAGGGCCTTTAGACCCCTGGACTCCAGTACCAGATAATGGACAGGGAGGTCAGTTGCTTCCCCAGACTCTGGAACCATTCTGGCTCCCATCCATAACCAAATTCAAGGGCTCTCATACCTCTGAACACCTCTCCTCACCTATTCCTGGACCATCACACCTCATCCATCCTGACTTCCCCACACCTGTTTAGAGGTCCTCTTGCTGAGACAGTAGAGAGGGAGAGGAAGTGGGGGGGCAAAACAGGAAAAGCACATTTATGAGATATGTTCTCTCCTGGGAGCAGAGAGAGACATTCCTCAGAGACAGAGGAGAACCAGGTCTGAGCCAGGGAGGGGAACAGAGCATCCTCAGAACAGGCCCCCTTAGTCAGGCATGGTAGCATACATCTGTAATCCCAGGAGGTAGAGGCAGAGACAGGCACATCAGAAGCTAGTAGCTAGCCTGGGCTACATACTAAATCCAAGGCCAGCCAAGGCTACATGAGACTTTGTCTTAAAGAGGTGGAGGTAATGGCTTAGTAGAAAAAGGTGATAAGCCTTGTGACTCAAATTCAAAATCCAGCACCTACACAATGGAAAGAGGGTGAGAGAGAGGGAGACTCCATCCCTTGACCCAGGCTGTGTGCTCAGGACCTAGAACCAGGCTCATTCGTTGTTTCTCCCCCACACTTTACCAACTCCCAAAATCTACCTTACTGTAACAGGTGCATATCCCCATGAAGAGACAGATTCACAAAACACATCTGCCCTCAAGTGTTTAATACATCCAAAATCCAAACCTGCTAAAATTTTGTAACTGGGATTATTTACCATTCTTCTGATGAAAACATTAGGAA